TTTTACAGTGACATTGTGAAAATAAGCGAACGTACGTGTGAAGAATAGTAACGATTTAGTTCATTGATGATAAGAATAATGTGTGTATGATTAATATGAAATGATTAACATCATCGAGATTTCGTTTACGTTCTTTCGAAAATTTGGGGGTTCTTAAAAAAGAACCGGTTTTTTTTTCTTCTTTTTCTTCTTCTTTTCATTGCTTTAAATCTTCTCTAGCCACATCGCGAAGGCCTCAACCTCAACTTTTGCGCAGTGCTGATACGCCCAGGCATCCAAGTGGTTCCCGCAGGTCTCCAACCAACCCAGCTGATCAAATAATTTATCTGCCTTGGGACAACCAAGGCATTCCAAATTAATTGAAGGGATTCTTAGTTTTGTTAAGAGATCCCTTTCAACTATCCCGCCTTTGTAAGCAATCGCGAAGTTTGGATTCTTTCTTATTCCTCTGTAGAAGTTCTCCATGATTGCTTCCAATTGCGAGATATCGAATGTCTTGACACCCCGCGGTACCCCAAACGGCAGTTTATGAATTCTCTTTTGCACGAACTTACACGTTTTCTGGTCTCTTTCACTTAAAGCAGACCAACGAAGCCCGATATCAAAAAAGAAGGATTGCCCGTAGGTATCTCCGACTTTGATGATACCGAGCTCCTTACAGTAGAATTCTCTTCCAACTTGAAAGCCATCCATGTCAATGACAGCAACAACGTCATCTTTGCAAGCCATAGCGAACTATGAGCATGATTTGTGAGATGGCTCAAATATAAAAGGAAATAATTTCGAAAGGGGGCGTGCGTACAAATATTTACGTCATACCTACCATATCAAAATTATAATAATGAATTGATCAGATAATAGAGGGGTTAGTGTGAATATAGTTAATTACGCACAAAGCGTTGCAATGGAACATTTCCCCTGGTTAGTTTACTTGACTGATCCTCTTCTTGTCGAAGGACAGTATAAATTCACATACCTATACCGTATCGAAATTATAATAATGAATTGATCAGATAATAAAAGGGATTAGTGTGAATATAATTAATTACGCCCAAAGCGTTGCATTGGAACATTTCCCCTAGCTAGTTTACTTGACTGATCCTCTCCTTATCGAAGGATAGTATAAATTCAGGGTATAATTTCTGTACCTTTAATCTGGAAAGTGTCACCTAATATTTAAAACATGAATTCTTTCCAAGTAAACGAAAAGATGTTCAGTGCAAACAGTTTAATTGTGGACGAGTTAGTATCGTGGGAAGTGAGAAATTTGTGTGATTTGATGAATGCGATATTTGCTGAAGCCGTTTATCGTGAAGTTGGAGACGTTTGCAAAGAAAGGTGTAGAGGTTGCAAAGTGAATCATCCAAGTCAAAGAAGACACGAATGTATAATGTTATCTGAAGAAGAGAGATGGGAAATGCATGGTTTGGAGGCCCTTGACCGCGTGATCGAAAGGGGAATACTTTGGAAAGAGTTTATTGAAGCTATCCGGGTGATGAAGTTAAAGTATAACGATTTTGCAGCAGAACATTTGGAGAACTTAAAAAAAGATCAAGAGGCAACTCTTGACTTTTTGATGGATTTGAGACAGAGTTCAGACTTTTCTGATTATCAAGGGATTTTGAATTATCTTTCTTATTGGATTGATGATCAGTGAGAGAAGCACCTTGTACAGTAGAACAGTTCTTATACAAATAATATAATTGTACTGTTCAGTTTACATTGTTGCTTTTTCTTTGTGGATATACGTATAAAATTGAATTGTATCAGACTTAAAATAAAAACAATATGCAGTGTGTTAAATGTGTGTGTGTGTAAGAATTTTTTGGTTGCTTTTAAAACGAATCGTTTTTAACGCCGATGCTTCTCCCTTTGCCCTCAATATTTTTATCCTTGATCTCGCAAATTTTCACTGCTTGCGTGCGATTCCTATCTCACCTGGGTTTATCCCCCAGGCTAATTAAAATGGTAACGAATGTATAATTACAAAGAAGGATCTTGTATTTGCATAAGGGATCAAGATAATGATTTTTTACGCAAATAATAAGTATAATGAAAGAATAGAGAGGATATTGGTCATGGACAAACTGAGAATATAAATTTGAGTTCATGATTAGCCAAAACCATTCGGTTTTACAGAGAGCGAAGGAACATAGTATACCTGCTTGAAAATTTTTCACTTGTTGCTGTTAAAGGTAAGAATTTAAAATTTGCTGCAAATTTTTGATCATGCATCTACTAGGCTAAATTCGCAAATAATTTGCCAAATTAAAAGATAATTACAGTACCTAAACGAATACTAGTAACCAGGGTAACACAGGGATGTTAGACATAAAAATATTTTTGTTTAGACATGAACTTGGAAATTAAAATATCTGAATGTCAAACAGTTGAAGAACTGACGGCTTTGGAGGGACTTTACATCCTGAGTGAATTTGAGCAACGCTTAGTTTTCCAGAAGAAGATCGAGATTATTAGCCGTTTGCTAGAGTGGGGTGCCGAAAATGAACATGCTGGGCTTACAGCGAACATTTCGGATTCCTGGTTGCCGGATCAAAGACAGCAGCTCTTGTACGACTGGCAGAATGATGAACCTCTTCGGGAAATTGTGGCAACTGAAGAATTAAATAACCTAGTTACAGAGTGGTCGCCCGAAGAGAGAGAGATTTTTACATGATTGGCAAAACGATGAGCCTTTGTTACAGATTGGCGGTGGGAATAAGAGATCTATCGATGAAGTGAACGAGGGCGCGAGCACATCAAACGAGGTTAGCGATAAGAATTATTTTACCGTAACTGATGTGAAGCAAGTAAAAGTTAAAAAGTTTAAAACCACTGGTGTAGATTACGCTGTGCGATTTAAGGATACGTTTGCTGATTTGGAACTCTATCAATTTAACAATCAACTTCATGACATTTTTGGAACTTTGTTAAATACTATCACGCACGAAATCTCTGAGCACGATCAAGTCCGTTTTGTGTTGCAATCGCCTCAGCTCGAGACTCCTATTTCTCTTCCATTAATGCCACTTTCTTGTCTTACGGCCGAACGGTTTTAGCTGAATTTGAGCGTGTCGTTCAATCCAATCGAGATTTTCGTTTGAATGATAGTGTTAATGTCAATTTAGTTCATGTTGAAATGCCATTTGGAGGTACCGGCTCAAAAAGTAGTGAAATTAATTTGGAAAAGCATTTAGAGCGAAAGGGTTCAATTATTCGAATTCAAAACACAGATAACATTTGTTTAGCTAGGGCACTAGTTGTTTCTATCGCCAAAATCGAAAACGATAATCGTTATAAAAGTATAGTTGACCACAGGAGACCTCTTCAAACACAACTGGCGTACAAATTGCATGAAAAAGCTAGGGTTCCAATCCGTTCTTGCGGTTTAGATGAAGTGAAACAATTTCAAACCTATTTGTCTGATTATCAGATGAACATCGTTTCGAAAGAGCATCAAAATATCATAATTTATTCCGGTCCCGATAAAGACAAAATAATTTATTTGTTTTTGCATGAAAATCATTATGATGTAATTACCAGCATGCCGGCTTTTTTCGCTCGTAAAAGGTATTGCCATATCTGTAAAAAGGGGTACGATAAATTGACTGATCACTCATGTCCCGACTCGTGTAAATTGTGCTATTTTTCAAATTGTCCAATTGTTTCATGGATTCCTTGTGCTTGTTGCATGCGTGTTTTTAAAAGTCAAGAGTGTTTCGATCGACATATAAGCAATCTGTAGGCAATGCAAAATCCATCTGTGATTCTCTGGATAAGTGTCTTCATTGCGATCTTGTTGTAAAACGGAGAAGACTGAGGCGTGATTTGCATCACTGCGGTGAGACTCGTTGCTCTACGTGCGATGTCTACGTAAAAACGGAGAATCATCAATGTTATATGCAACCTGTCAGAGAGAAAAACACCAGAGACATAAACGATGAAGCGAACCTTCTTGATACAGAGGCGAACGATGAAGACAACTCTCCTCAAAGCGGGTACAATCAACTCCTTTTCTTTGACTTTGAATGTCGACAGGAAAACGGAAACCACGAACCCAACTTATGCATAGTGCAAAACGAAACGGGAGATGAGTGCATATTTAATGGCGATAATACGAGAAATGAGTTTTGTGAGTGGTTATTTACAAGGGAGCATGCAAACTGCATTGTATTAGCCCATAATTTTCAAGGTTATGACGGATATTTTATTCAACAATTCCTACACCAAAACGGCGTGATTTTTGATCTCATCACAAGAGGTGACAAAATCCTTACATTGAATGTCCCGTTGTGCAAGATTAAATTCATCAACTCTCTCAGTTTCATACCCATGAGACTCGCTGATTTTCCAAAAACCTTTGGTTTCAATGGGCTTGCAAAAGGTTATTTCCCTCACCTTTTCAACAAAAAGGAGAATGAGAATTACGTTGGCCCAATACCTCCAAGTCCATTTTACAATCCTGACGGAATGAGTCCTGATGAAAAAGAAACGTTTTTGGAATGGCACAGTAATATGAAAGAAAACAATTACGTGTTCAATTTCCAACAAGAAATTCAAACTTACTGTCGTTCAGATGTCGATATTCTACGGCGTGGTTGCCTAGAATTTCGCGAACTGTTTCGTGATGTTACGGGTATCGAACCGTTTGAGAAATGTCTCACCATTGCATCAGCATGCAATTTGGTGTTTCGAAAGAATTTTCTGAAAGAAAACACCATTGCCATCATCCCTCCCCACGGTTATCGTCCGAAAGACAAACAATCGATCCTGGCTCTGAAGTGGTTGACTTATACCGCCGAAAAGAATGACATCTACATCCAACATGCCCGCAACGCTGGTGAGAAACGTGTTGGAAATTATCTGCTGGATGGTTATCATGAAGAGACCAACACAGCCTATGAAATCAACGGTTGCTTTTGGCACGGTAAGTTGTTAACGTCATCATTTCTTTCTATGCTCATGTCTAATATATTGTTTCTTAAACTTTTGCAGGATGTTGTAAATGTTATGCCAGAGATACGTTGAACAGTGTTAGTGATAAAACCATGCATGATCTGCATCAAACTACAATGGAGAAGACGTGTTACCTCAGAGATCAGGGCTTTAATGTTATCGAAGTATGGTAGTGTGACATCACACAAGAATTAAAATACGACGAAAATATGAGGAATTTCTTCCAAAATTACGATATAGTTGATCCTTTGGAACCTCGTGATGCTTTCTTTGGTGGTCGAACCAACGCTGCCAAACTATTTCACGAGTGCAAAGATGACGAAAAAATAAGGTATAGTATGAATCTTTGAGTAAAGTACAACTTAAATGTACAACTTTATTGTACAACTATTAATTACTTTTTATTATGACGTCATGATGATGTCAGCTATTTAGATTTCACTAGTTTATACCCCTATGCAAATAAGACAACGCGAACAGTCGTCGGTCATCCTCATATCATCACTGAGAATTTTGAGGAAGATATCTCCAATTACTTTGGGTTGATCAAATGTACAGTTCTGCCACCTCGTGGTCTCTTCCACCCTGTCCTACCTTATCGTACACAGGGAAAGTTGATGTTCCCCTTATGCAAGTCGTGTGCAGATGTGTGTAACCAATCCCCATGCACCCATTCCGACACCGAAAGATCCATTCAAGGAACCTGGTGCAGTGTAGAGTTGGAGAAAGCCTTGGAGAAAGGTTACGTAATTCTGAAACTCCACGAAGTATGGCATTTCCCACAACAATCTGATGAACTGTTTAAGGATTATATCAATACGTTTCTGAAAATCAAACAGGAAGCGAGTGGTTACCCAAAGAATTGCACTATAGAGGAACAGAGACGCCTTTATGTTGAGGAGTACTACGAGCGAGAAGGAATCCGTTTGGATCCGTGCAAAATTGAGCATAATCCCGGGCTTCGTGCGCTGGCAAAACTGATGCTTAACTCATTTTGGGGTGAGTATATTGCTACAAGCTTTGCCGTACCCTCTAAAGGATTTTTTTTCTCTCTTTCAGATCAGTAACCTATTTTGTCTCATATATTTTTAGGCAAGTTTGCACAACGTCCCAACATGTCAAAGGTAGAATTAATCGCAGACCCCCAAGTTTACTTTGACTACCTAACCTCAGATGAAATCAATGTTCTTGACGCAAATTTCGTCAATGATGAAGTGATTGAAATCCACTATGAAAACAACGAAAATTTCATCGCACCAAATTCAAAAACGAATGTTGTTATCGCTGCTTTCACCACTGCCTACGCTCGCCTCAAACTCTACGATGTTCTGGATCAACTTCAAGAAAGAGTTCTGTATTACGATACTGACTCAGTGATATTTGTCAGTCAACCTGGTGATCCAATGCCTCCCACTGGTCCGTACCTCGGTGAACTTACAGATGAATTAAAAGGAGATTACATTACTACGTTCATTTCAGGTGGTCCAAAGAATTACTGTTACCGCACAAATTCAAACAAAGTTGAAACAAAGATACGCGGTATCACATTGAATTGCACCGCAAGGCAAAATGTTAACTTTGAGGTGATTAGTACTTTGGTGTACCTTCATGCAAAGTGTAATGTCGCAGGGCAAGTATCGGTAGATATCCCATTCAAGATTACTTGCAACACCAAAACAAAGGATATAGAGACCAAACGCATGAAAAAGGACTATCGTATTGTTTACGACAAACGTGTTATTATCGATGAATACAAAACACTTCCTTATGGATTCTAATTACATAGAACAGTTTTGTAGAACTATGCTATATTGTCTTTATGAAAGTATTATATGTTTAAACAATTGTCAATAAATGAAGTGTTGTTACAGTGTTATTATGAGAGTCTTTTTTTCGATTCTTTTACACTTTGACGTCTCCCTTGCTTTTCGGATAATCACCAATTTGATTTGTTTCAGTATCACAGTGTCGCTACTTGTTTTCTTCATTTTAGATTCCTTTATTTTATGCAGTTTGGCTTTTTTATGACCTTTAACATTTTTCTTCTTTTTAATTCTCTTTTTACGTAGATTATTTGATTTTGAGCGTAAAACCTCTTTCTTTGAAGATGCTTTAGGAGGGAACGTCTTGTGTGCACACTTGGCTGGCATATTGCAAACTGAGGATACAATTTAAAATCACGTCATTTTATACAGATGGTTTTCGCGATCACAGTAAACGCACTTATTACAAAAACCTAAAGATCTCTTCTTTCAGCATTCGTCTTCGATCTGTACAAAAATTACATCTCCAATCAGCACGCGTGTATTTGAGTAGCTCTGGACCGTCTACACAAGGTTTAATGTCCGTTAGGGTTTCGATGAAAGCCTCCGTGACCTTTGTCTCTGAGATTTTTGATAATGCCTCGTCGAAATACATACATAACTGTTTGTCTTTTTCCATAGTCAGACATTGATGATTTGTTTGAGATAAATTTTCCATATTACAACCAACACAATTTTCAACCACAAGTCGTTATATCATCGTTGATATCTCTTTTGCGTAACACTTTAGCAGTTTGTTTTCGATACGTTTTAGACGATGATGTATCATAAACATTTTGTTGTCAATATCCACAGGTTTGTATGGAGACATCTTTCTTTCACGGCTCTCCAGATAGGTTTGATGGGATTTTTAATGTTACACATGTTTTATACCATATGTACAAGGTCAGCATATTCAGTGTGAGGCAAGAGCCGTAGTGTAAACATGGGTAATTCCTTTAGAAAAAGTCCTAAGATCAACAAAAATCACAACAGGCAAAAGATGTTTAAATTGGGCATAAGCTTTGGTCGCAACGATTTTAATCTTGAAGGGCATTTGCAAATGGTTTATAACAGTAAAACCATTAAAAACTACAAGCCAGTTGACAACGCGGAACAAGACATTGCTCAATTGCATAGTGAGACGCATGAAAATATTGAAAACGCCGAAGAGTAAAAGTCAAACCCTCATTTCACGCCTGAACATGAACGAATACTTATCTAGTGTTTATTATGATCCTAAACGATCTGGAGGGTTTGGTGGGGTGGATCGTTTATATAAAGACGTTAAAAACGAAGGAAAATTTAGAATAAGCCGAAAGAAAATCAAGCAATGGTTAATGGAGCAGGACACATACACTTTGCATAAGCCTCTTCGTCGTAATTTTAAACGAAATCGCGTGATCACTGGTAATATTGATCAGTCTTGGCAGATGGATTTGGCAGATTTACAATCCCTACAGAAATTGAGCGATGGATATCGATATCTCCTCGTATGTATTGATGTCCTCTCCAAATACGCCTGGGTTATTCCGTTGAAAAAGAAAACAGGCCCTTCCCTGGTCGAAGCTTTCAAGACTATTCTCTCTTCTGGACGTAAACCTGAAAAGATTATGACTGACCAAGGAACGGAGTTTTTGAACAGACATTTTCGAGCCTTGATGAAAGAAGAAGATATTGAGTTGTACAATACGTATAACGAGACCAAGGCCTCGATCGTAGAATGTTTGATTCGTACTTTGAAGACAAAAATGTGGCGGTATTTTACAGCGAAGAAAACCATGAGATACATTGACATGCTGCCAGATTTAGTTTATTCTTACAATCATAGTGTTCATCGTAGCATTAAGATGAAGCCTGCGGATGTTAGCATTGAAAACGAAAAGAAAGTATGGCACACTTTGTATGACGATCATAATGTTAGAAAAAATGTAAAGTACAAATTTAAGATTGGTAATCAAGTTAGAATTAGCAAATTAAAACGAAAGTTTGAGAAAGGTTACTTGCCAAATTTTTCCAAAGAAATATTTACTATAAGTAAGCAAATTCCTCGCGATCCTCCGGTATACAAGCTAAAAGATTATGACGATGAGGAACTCGATGGAACGTTTTACGAAAAGGAATTGCAAAAAGTTATCAAACATGACGACGTGTACGAAGTTGAAAAGATTCTTAAAAAACGTGGGACACGCGATAATATACAATACCTTGTGAAATGGGCAGGTTACCCTAACAAATTCAATTCATGGGTGCCTGCTTCACAAATTAATAAACTTTAAAAACTATGTTTTATGTTGTCTTTCTTTTATTTGTGATATTGAAGTCGTGATGGACGGAGCACATTTTTATGTTACTCTTCCCAGCAATGCGTCCCTTTCAACTTTTCCCAATAACACAACAACAAATTATCGGGTGAAATTACCGCAACTAATAGATTTAGACGGTGATTGGGAAGTAGGTCTATATTCTATAAACTATCCACATACATGGTATACTCTTTCATATAATGAAAACAAAGTATACTACAGTACAGATGGTGTTTATTTTCTGACATCTTTCGTCGACTATGGTCATTATGAAACAATGAACGACTTTATAAAATCATTTAATGCATGTTTGAAGAAGGAGACGAAAAGTGACAATATTAGATTATCGTATAATTCTCGAACTGAAAAAGTAACAGTTCATTTGAAAAATGGTCACCAAATTATTCTTATTGGACAGATATCCATGATGTTAGGATTTAGTGGAAAAGAAACGAAAATTGTTAAAACGACAGAAAGCCCGTACGTGTCAGACTTGCATGGTTCGATTATAATATACGTCTATTGTGACATTGTCGAACCGCAGGTTGTCGGAGATACAATTGCAAAGCTGACATTCCTGTCGAAGGAAAAGTGGGTGACACTATAACAAAAACGTTTGCTAATATACAGTATGTACCAGTTCAAAAGAAAACTTTTGAAGATATAGAACTTCTTTTAAGGGACGACGCAGGCCGTCCTGTTTCATTTCAACGTGGTAAGGTATTGGCAACACTTCATTTCAGACAGCAAAATTCGTCATTTTTAAAGTAAACTATGGCTCAAGCAGATAAATACGTACGTTATTATCTGGACCAACAGCAGGGGTACGGAATGCCCGTCTTTGAGGGTGGTTTATGGCAACGTGGACATGGGCAACAGACAGGTTTTGGTCTTGGGGGACTTTTTCGCTCTGTTGCAAGGGTTGTTTTACCTATGGTAAAAAATCGCGCAAAAGCTTTTGGCAATTTAGCCTTAAATGCAGTCCCTGGAAGGGACCTGAGAGAAGCATTAAAAACCCATGGGAAGGAAGCTGTTATTACCGCAAAGAATAAAATCGCCAAACGACTTAGAACTTATGCTCAAACAGGAAGTGGAAAACGAAAAACAAAGAGAAAAGCATCAATCAACAGGAAAAGTCGTCCCAATAAACGCAAAACGACTAAAAAGAGAAAAGCATCCACGTCCACAGCCAGAAGCAGGCAGACCAAGAAGCGGAGAACAACTCGTGTAGTAAAAGATATATTTGGTTAAAGTGCTTGTGAAACGAAATTTTCGACTTTTTTCTTTTTATGGCTTCAAGTACTTTTTGAGCGGCTGAATACGATGCGCTGGTTAGTTTTTCAAATTAATGAATTGTAATACCATAATTTTGCGTTTGAATGTTAGCACTTTGGTAGAAAAGTCAGCCGAAACCTGGGTTCGAGTTGTGACGTCACTGGTTAGAGTCCCATACTTTGTAACACGATTTGTGTATATTCAAGAGAACAAAAATACACTGTTTTTATTTCGAAAATATGTCTGATGAGGACTCAGAATTGAATTATTCATATGATGGATCTTTTCATGGTGATAATAGTGAAGCAAACAGCGTAAGTGACTGCGAGGAATACGCTTTTGAGGGCAATTTTTTGCCCTACCAAGACGAGCCATTGGCTAGCACTGAGGATGAAGGCAGCGACGAAGAACACCACGACGAGGATGGAATTTCACGGGATGTTTTGGAGCAACGCTACGAAAGACAAATTCCAATAGAACAGTGGTAAGAACTATCTATTTTCCTTGCAAATAGAGTTCGTTAGATATAAAAATAATATTCTCTGCCTCTAAAATCCTAGGTGTACCTGTGGTGGTTGTGAGGACTCCCTTCTTGTTGGTTCGAGAGAATTTCGTTGTTGCAAGGAAATACTTGAAGCTACAGGAAAATTTACTTTCGAGGGAATGAATGCTGCATGTATTTTGAGCCACCATGACTTTGGTCCACTGACTAATAAGACAGTTTTGCTGCAAGTTGGACCTTTACTGAGAGACAAAAGTGGGAAACGCTACACGAAATATGGTCATACAGAAAATGAGTAAGGTCCTAATAAATTGTTTATTAATATCAGATAAAGTTGAAGTATTGATCTCATGTTTTACAATATTTTTGTGGTAGATTTCTGCGAGCTGTTGCCTACAGATGGCTAGCCAGATGGTTGTTTGGTGAAATGGGATGGGAAAACACTAGACCTCTTTCTGCCTGCATATATCACAACATAAGGAAGACATTCCCAACAAGCAGCTCTGTCGGGTATTCGTCTGGTAAAGAAAGAGCCACAGAACAGGACATTGATGAGTAAACTTTGTTTACATAATTTGAATATATGCATGGCTATGCCTTTTCTAAAGCTTTATGGGTTGTTTATTTTAAATTGTATACAAGATTAGATGATATTAAATATATTTTGCAAACTTTGTTGACCTCATATAAAATTATTTACACTTCCACAATACACTACTGTGGTGCTACTTGCTGTGTTGGGCAGTGAGAACGGGGATGACCTTTCATTGGCAGTTTGCATTTTTTGCAGCATCTTGGTCTTCTTTGTTGCAATTGCTGTCTACTTCTTTTTTCCTTTACCATTTCTTGATTTTGTAATTCACCTTAAAAGTTTTTAAAAATATTTAGAGTACAATTGTCAGGCCTTAGACAGAGGTAAAAGCCTTGCACATTGCAAACCAATAGAATAATAACAATTTTTTAGAATGCCTGCAAAGACTTTAAAAATATATATACCTGATGGATAAAGTTCAGCTATCTTTCGTTTTCGAGCAGCATTCTTAGTAATGGCTTCATCCCGAGGCACTTTGCATAGAAACTGACTATTCAATGGTTTTGGTACCCGTTCTTCATATTTCTCTATCATCTTGTCTAGGTCTTCTTCAGATGTTGCAAATAGTAAATGTTTCATGTCTTCTACATAATCTATTAAAAAACATATACTTGATGATTAATCTAAGCCAAAATATCAATCAACAACAATCCACTTACTGTAAGTTGGTGGTACTGGAATATTTCGTACAACTTCATCTCCAAATTTAAATTTTGGATATGTCACACTGACATAGTTCTTGCCATCTTTTGTTGTTTTTTGTTTTCGTTTTGTATTTTCATTGAAATGGAGGATAGCAAGAATATGTCTAAAACAAAGAAAATTCCCACATGCTAACATCTTGTATTCAGCAATATTCCTTTTCTTGTTGGAGATAACTGATTATATAATATATTATTTATTATATCTGATTTGCTAAACATATCTTACATTTGTTATCACCCTAATTCATATTTATGGTGAAACAATCATATTACCTGCAATATGTCCCAAGCCATGAAAAACAAATCATTTTAGGGTGCCATTGGTTGAGAGTAGAGTGGAAACCCTCCAATGAACTTGTTTGGGCATCAGGCGAAAGCTTCTTCACATCTTTTAGGATTGTTTTCTTCATGATAATGGCTTGTAGTTTGTCATGAGCTCTGGTTCCTACAATAATCATTTAGGAAATATCATTACTATTCATTACACTAGCTTGTATCTAAGTGACTAATTATTTTGGGGTTGAATTTTTCTTTTCTCAAAGCCATAAATAGGCATAACTACCACATAGATCAACTACATTCCTTGCATGAAAAAAAGCAAATTGGTGTATATCAAATTGGTGTGCTACTTGACTCTCTTACCAATTTTAATCCATTTCCTTTCATCTTCAAGCTCTTCATGCGCACACTTGGGAAATAGCTGATCAGGATGGTCATCATGTTTGTTGGCCACATGCCGCATAAAGGACTTCCACTTTGCCTGGATCATACTTCCAAAGCCTTTTACAGTAGAGGTTGAGCACCAGTAAATGTGGTTTCTGGCAGCTTTTGTCCACTCTCCAATTCGCTCGCATCCTTTTTCCTTGCTTGCAGCCAGCATTTTTTTAACAATGCCTTTTGCAATGTGCCATTGGTCAAAAAAATGCTGAATTGTTGGATGGGATTCTCTGATCCACTTGGTAATCCCACGGTGTCGATCTGAGATGAATACTGGGACTGTTAATCCAGCAATAGTAAGGAGGAAATCAAAGCATGCCTTTGCCCCTTCCAGCTCCATAGCATTACTGCTTCCAGTTTGGTTTGCCTGCAACAAAAACAATGCAGTCTTCATGTTAAGCAATCTAATATTTTGTAGCTCTGTTCCAAAAAGGACCAAAAATAAATAAATAGATAGCTACACATATTATAATTAAAAAATAGCTATAGCGCTACTTGATAAAGTTGTGCAATTTGTTTCTACAAATCAACATTGTTTCATACTTACCTGCAACAAATCAAAATGTACAATTTTCATAATTGTTGCACAAAACATTGTGTAAGCTCCAAACTTAGCAGAATGTCCCATGGAGTCAAACCGACCATCTCCACACCAAACTGCATCTGTGACATTCCTAAGTGACTCGATCAATTTGGCTTGATAGGATTCCCAGTGTGTTAGGATGGTAGGGAAGATAAACATGTTCTGATGGTAGAAGAATGTCCGTGATGTGTAGACAGCAAGGCCCATGTGTTTGAAAACTAGAATTATCTTGCCAACAGAGGCACCAGCCATTAGAATTCCAAAGGAGAGCAAAAGGTTTCCAGCTGGGTATCGTCCAAAAACAAAAGGTTGACTTCTCCATTTGAATGATTCCATACCACAAGAATCACAATGTTGCACAACAGTTACCATGGTCCCATTTCTATACATGTCCACCTTAGGGTTCTCTTTTTTGCAGGTAAAACAAAACAAAGAAAATATAGATAGCAGCATGCTGTGGAACACAATAAACTTGGGTTCATCCTGGCATTTTATATCTGAAGGCAAACTATACAAGAAATGAATAAAATGTGTTAGACTTACAGCACAAAAGAACAGGGAGGGGATTGATGGCTTTTTGAAGCTTCAATTGGCCTGCATAACATGTACTTCACTTCATAATCCATTAATATTGTTTGCAATGCAAGAACCTTATTAAATTTCTTGACTGAGAATTCAGATGTTCAGCATCATCTCCACTGTCCTCGGCAACTTGTTCCAGGACATCCCAGTCTGGGTCGGGTTCCCCATAATCACTTTCCACATCTGATTCCATGTCAATTTCTTCATCATACTCTAGTTCCTTTCTCGTTACTGTCTTGGTCTGCCCCTCATTTGTTCTCTCATTGTTTTTGGATTTGGTATTGAGTTCATAGGTGTCTAGAACCTGAATGCGCAAAATCAGAAATAGGCATGCATGTATTTTGGACATGTATAACTCTACAAATAGTCATAATATAAATAATTCTCACCTTGAGCAGCTCTCGTTTATCACCACGCTCAGCAAAGAGTTTCTTTCTCAGCTGTGAATTTTGTTCCTTACTTTTGCGCAAACGCTCTTTGTACTCCTCGAGCTCTTTTGACACTCTAGACGTGGAAGGAGTATTGTCCGGAACGTTCGACAGCGCTTGGCCAACATTGTCATTTGGCTCTTGAACGGACGCTTGTACTGTCGATGACGACTTGTGCCGTACGTCGGGTTTCTTGATATCTCTCAATATCTGGAATAAACAACGTATTTAAACCAGAATGATTATTTGCGCTTACAATTGGCACGATCATAGGCCCATCCGTGGAATAAGTGTGCATGTTGGTATTCAATTTGAAATGTGTTACATTTATGAATATATTAATTTTACCTTTCTGCGTTCACGGCCAGAAATTTCGGGTGTAGTTGTAACGACTGGTATCGCAGTATCTACAGTTGGATACGCGACGTTTCTGTCAAGCCACCTCTTTGTTTGTGCTTCTTTTCCTATTTCTAAACCGATGTCGAGACGCTGTGTGAAGTAGCGCTCTTCAAAATGAGCAGAGCAAAGCGCAGAATATGGAGATGGTTGCCAGCCAGATCGATGTCTTTGCACAAACTTTATCCAGGCATTTCGCAATTTTTCGTTCGACTTCGGAAACAAATGCATGGATATTCCAATAGTTTGTGAATTATTCTTACAACTCACATTACCAGGACCGCCAGCAACGCAATATTTGCCCAATTGTTTTTGCTTTTTTTGGGAACTCGCGTGAGAACTCGTTGAAGATGCCATCTTTATAATAGCTGACTCTAACCAGTGACGTCACTGGCCGCGCAAGACTTCGGAAGCCTTTTTGTGCCGAATTACAGTTTTCGAGGGGGAAAAAAAGGATTTTCTCTTCAGCATAGGTAAAAATAGATAAGCGCATCGTGTTCAGCCGCTCAAAGACTACTATAAGCAATAAAAACTACAAAGTCGAAAATTTCGTTTCATAAGCACTTGGTGCATTCAAAATCTCCGGAAGGAATGAAAAGTGAACTTGATTTATTTAGAATACCATCAACACAAGTCGGTTTAGAAAAAGGACATTGGATCGATCATCAACCAGTATCCAGCGTAGAAGATGGTGGTCCAATCACATTTCTGTGTCCAGGCACTGAAGATTACGTTGATTTGTCGAAAACGATTCTTGTAGTGAGAGCAAAAGTGACAAAGGCTAATGGGCAAGATCTTGACGCAGACGAAAGAGTCGGAGTTGTAAACAATTTTCTGCACAGTCTTTTCAAACAAGTTGACGTCTTTTTGAAAGAAAAGCAAGTGACACAAGCTACGGGGACGTATGCATACCGTGCGTATTTGGAAACCCTCCTTAATTATGGTAGTGATGCTAAGCAATCCCAACTCACCGCGGGTTTGTTTTATAAAGATACGGCAGGAAAATTTGATGTGACCAATCCTGCAATAGCGGTTGCAGCTAACACCAACTATGGTCTTAAAAAGAGATATGAATTCAGCAGCCAGAGTAAAACGATTGAAATGGCTGGACCTATATTTAGTGATGTGTTCTTTTCAGAACGTCTCCTGTTAAGCTTTGTAGACCTAAAAGTTATTCTGAATCGTAATATAAACGAATTTTGTTTGATGGCTTCTGAAGATGATGCGGATTACAGAGTAAAATTGACGGATGCTTATCTCAAAATACGTAAGGTGAAAATTAGCCCAACCGTTTCCATCGCCCATGAAATTGCATTGAAAAAAGGTCCTGCTATCTATCCTATCCGTCGTGTTGAATGTAAAAGTTTCATTATTCCAGCTGGAAATCCCTCCCTAAGAAAAGATAACGTTTTTAACGGACTTGTCCCGAAATCATTTGTTTGTGGCTTAGTCACAAGTGCGGCATTCAACGGTGCGTACAAACAAAATCCATTTAACTTTCAACATTTTGACATGTCCTTTATTGGAGCGTCTGTGAATGGCAAAGAAATACCGTTGAAAGGCATGCAACTTTCCTTTGCCGATGCGAATCCTAGATATATTGAAGCATTTTACACAATGTTCTCAGGCACTGGAAAGATGAACTACAACACTGGAAATAATATCTCACGCGATGAATACAAAGGCGGAAACGTGCTTTTTGCATTAGATCTGACACCAGACATGTGTGGCAGTTCGACACACTTTAATGCGGTTCAAAAAGGAAATTTCGCAGTTGACGTGAAGTTCTCTCGCGCACCGGCAGCAGCTGTTAGTCTTGTGTGTTATGCAGAATTCGAAAACCTGATTCAGATTGATGGTGAGAGAAACGTCATATATGACTATACAGGCTAGATGAATACCGGACAGATAGCTCACGCATTGGAACAGGATTCTTTCGCAAGCAAAAAATTTTGTGGTGTATTTCCAGGTGACAAAATACCTGAAAAAGTTGAAGAATATCCTTGCGGTTTTGTTGCAAACACAGATCCAAGCACTGAACCTGGAACGCACTGTGTGGCCTTTTACTTTCCATCAGAACACAACGGAGAATTTTTTGACAGTTATGGGCAACCGCCGGATTTCTACCCATTTGGAAACTTTTTCAAGGGGTATTCTTATAAATTTAACAATCGCAAACTGCAAAGCAATTGGTCGGATGTTTGTGGCCAATATTGCATATTTTATCTTAGTCATAGGGCACATGGACATAGCATGAATAAGATCGTTCAGTTATTTAGCAAAAATACATTGTTAAATGATGAAAAAGTGTTTCAATTTTGTTAAAAATAATTTTAAAGTAATGTTGAAAGAATCAAATACTGTAGACCAGCAAAGTAAAAAGTTGTTTGAATAAATGTTGTAAAAAAAAATCAACGTGTGTGGTGTACATGTGTGTGTGTAAAAAGGTAAAAAATAGAAGCAACTAGATTGGGTTGAAAATAAACATTTATTTATTAGAACATGCAGTTACAAAATTCAGTATTTAATCCATTTTTGAGTTTCTTTTCCCCTTTCATTGCGTCTGTTGAACAGGGTCTGAGCAAAACGCGATGATGTATTTTTCTGCTTGGGCGAACTGTAATGAACGATTTCTTCTCCGCTAGATGAAATATTTCCTTTCTTCGTACGTCTTGGCTTGGGTGAAATATACAAAACATCCTCTCCTCCGCTCGACGGAATATTCAATTCCATTTGTTTCAACCTTTCCTCATTCCTCACAATGTCTGTGGGTATGTTCATCTTGGACAAAACAGTAAAAAATTCTTTAGACCCTTTAGGATTAAAATTCTTTCTTCTTCTCATAGCGTCGCTGATCAAATCAGATATGTTTGAACGTGGAATCTTTTTACCGTCCAAAGTAACTTCTCCAGTCTTATCCCAAGAAATAACGTCAGGTCTCGTTTTCAAACGGTTCAACAATGCTGTCGCTCTTAAAGCATTGTTTTGGGTATATTATCTACAATCACGGAATCGGGCAAGGGATTGATTTCGGTTGTCCCGTCGTCTTTTTCGGATTTTGTTTCCATTGCCAACCTAACAGTTGGAATTTCTTCATCCTTTTGTTGTCTGAGATTCATAAAACGTTCCAGATTGGTATAGTATAATTTCTGTTTTTGCGCATCATCAATATCAGTACGTTGAAGAATATCTGACATTTCTCCATCTGTCTTAATCATGTTTCTTACAATTGGCGATGTTTCAATTTTTTGCTTTTGTTCATATCTAGCAAACACGTCTTCAGGGACCAATATCATTCGTTTTGCATGCTTCATTTTACTAACAAACTTCTGAGGACACTTAGGACAGGTGGCAAGAGAGCTGTTAGTAAATTTCAGCCTTTTTGATTAATATATTGCCTCTTTCGTTTTCCTGACACTTTTTTATTTGCTAACGCACGGAGATGTGTCCTGTAACGCGCTAAACGTCGCTTTGATTCGGTGTTACTGGAATAGTGCCTTTAAGTAGATTTAAAGAGCATTCGCAAATTTAATTTAATTTAATTTAAAAAGTGTTTATATTGCGCTAAAACTATAAATATTCTAAAGCGCAGTTTACAATTTACAACCATTGTTATCTAACTTATATAAAATATATATGTATAAAAATATATCTTTACAGAAATCCAAAATAGTAAATCATAAAGCTAAAAACTACAAGTCTTTCTATTACCTGAAGGCCTTTGTAAACAAAAAGGTCTTTAAGTGTTTCTTAAATGTTAAAACATTAGAGATTTCTCTTATATTAAGAGGCAAGCTATTCCACACAACAGGACCAGCTTTAAAAAAAGCACAGTCTCCAAATGTTTTACAAGTTGTTCTAGGAACAACGAGTAGTTTCTGCCCGCTAGATCTTAGACGATAGGTTCCTACGTCCTTTAATTGAAGCAAGTTCACAAGGTATGCAGGTGCCTCCCCATGTAACACTTTGAAAACAAGGAGAGCAATTTTGAACTCCACGCGATATCGAACAGGTAACCAATGCAGCTCCTTTAAGATTGGTGAAATATGCCCAAACTTAGGAACAACACAGACAACTCGAGCAGCAGCGTTCAAAACTCGCTGCAGTCGATTAAATTGGTACTGAGGTATACCATATAACAAAGAGTTGCAATAGTCAAGATGTGAAGTGACTAAGGCGTGAATTAGTGTTTTCGTCGAGTCAGGAGTTAAAAACTTTCGAATTTGACGGATGTTATACAAACTATGGAATGCCTTGCTACAAACTTTCCCAACGTGGACACTCATTGACATTTGATTATCGAACCAAGTACCGAGGTTACGCACAGATGATATCGGCATAATCATGGATTCTCCGACCTTGATGGAGTTAGCGGTCACCTCAAATAGCTGCGATGACATCCGCAGGACAATGTTCGATAAGCAGTTTTCGCAACTTAGGTTTAGATTTTGTCATAATTTGAAGATATGGAAGACTTTCTCTCATGCGCTTCGACATGTTTAAACTGAGAGTTGCAGGTCAACGTACCTAACTTAAGTACGTTTCACGTAGACGACTTGTCTTTCTCCGGGAAGAATACATGTTCTGAGGTGTCAACTGATGATATTTTCAGGTGTCAACTGATGACAATCAACCATTAGATAACCGTAGGGTTTACTTGTAGCATCATTAAACGCCTCCAAAAGATAATTAATGTTATTAGGAAACATTTGCTTCGCTAATGTTGCAATACCGAGTGAGTCGCGTGGGTTTCAGAATATTAGCATGTAGTGGGAATTCAAACTTATTGTCCCTGATAATTTGCCAGGTGGAAATAAGTTTTGTGTAAGGTACAGCACAGATATACCGCGATGATGAGAGCCGCGCGTAAATATGTCTGCTACCCGTTGATCGTTGGAACATTGAGACATTAAATCATCTAGTACAACTAAAGAGTTTTCGTGTCCATCAACCATTTCGTATAGGTTATCCGGAAATCCTTCCACCAATGTAATATAAGGCAACATTAGCATCATCTGGTCAAATTCTTTTTGATAAACCCCGTAACAATATATTACTTTGGTTGGAATTGGAGAAAAGAGTTCTTCTAAATTATGTAATATGGAACGGATCAAATGTGACTTTCCGCTCTGACTTTGTCCAGAAACGTAAAAGTTAGCAGGCGTTTTAAATCGTACATCCATTGTACAGGCAAAACCTATAATGAATCCTTTTCCACATTTCTCCGCACTTTATAATGAAAAAATACGCCTGATGAAAGAAAGAGATTTACGAAAATTATTCTTCTCTTCTTCTATCTTAAACTTTAGGCAATCAAAACTGTTAAGAGGCGTACAAACGAGCTGTACAGCTCTATG